AGTGATACTGAGCATTTTTTCACGTGCCTTTTGATCATTTGTATGTTTTCCTTGGAGAACTGCTTGTTTAGGTCTTCTGCCATTTTTGGATTGGGTTGTTTATTTTTTTCTTATTGTGGGCAAGCTCTACTTTAAAACAAATGGAATTTGTCATCTACATTTATCATCTCCTCTCACCTAAATAGTCTTTGAACAGATACTAAAAATTTTGAGTTATTCACCTTTCTTTCTTCAATATTCCTAGTAAGTTACTAATAGTTACATAAGGATGCCATATTGTAAGCCATTCTCCATCCCAATCATCTTCTCCCTCCTAGATGGGGCACGTAAAAATGAGGGGAAATAACAGCACAGAGTGGAGCCAAAAAGAAAGATTCCAGGAAAACTAGTTTAAATTTACCAGATTGGGAAGGCAGTAAGTTTGTAAGAAGGAGCTAAGTCATCAAAAGGAGTTCACATTTTTTTTGGATTGTTGAAAGAGAAAATGGTGAATGAAAAGTAAAAACTCTCCTGTGCTTTGTCCCACTTCTCGTATCTGACCGTGTATCTGCCTCCCACTGGCTCAGCAAGTCCCTGAGCACCTCTTTACTGGGTCATAAGAACATCAAGACTTCTGCTCTGTCAAAATCCAAAACCTTTCAGATGCACTTATCGTCCTTAGAGAGTCACAGAGTTTGTGTTCAGCTTCCCCTGAAGACTCAGGCACTGTGTCACCCAGAACACAGAAGTACTCTGCCGAGTCGCTCCAATGGGCTGACGTTTTCTTCAGGTGGAAGGAAGTTTCATTCCTCCTAAATTCAGCCATGAAACCTTTGATGCCTGAAACAAAGCTGTTTCCAGACACGTACTTCAGGAGAAGCTGGGGTCCTTGGTTGGGGTACTGTACGTACCAGAAGAGAGACGGTGAATAAGTGGATGAGTAGTTGCACCTCAGCTCCAGGCGGGCTCCTTCAGGGACAGTGATGCCGTGCCTGTCAGGCTGGGTCACTGACTGGGCTCCGGCTCCTCCTGAAACATCAATGCTGTGTCAGTGAGACCAGAACAGACTTACCTATCAACAGACGGTTTCTCTATTCAGAGTCCAGTTGCAATACTGTACTTCTAGGGAACAAGAAGATGGAAATGAATTTTACTCACTCAGGGCAAAAAGTGTCATAAGCACCAATACGGGAACCAAGCTCATATCTGAGCAGTGAAGAAGCTGTGGGAGACTTTTTGAAGCTCTTCCCTGAGCAGGAAGGAACATGCTGAGGAAACTGCACTCTCGACCAAGGAAGAACAGGTATGGCTGGTGTCCTAGAACCTTGCCTAAGCACGTTCCAGAGATGTTTGGAAGTCTCTTCCTTGACAAGTCTGGATGTTTTTCGGCTTCTAAATGCTCCTCACGTACCAATGTCTGCAAAGAGCTCCAGCTGGACACCTCAGCCCGCTCTGTGAAGGAGGAGCTAAAGGACTGATGCTGTTCTTCAACCATAATTCTAGTTGTGCAACATCGCCCTCTGGAGGCCAAACGGAAGTAGTTCTTCTGGCACACCTTGCCATATCCTTTGCTAGTTCAGGCATTATTAGAGAGGGACTTGGGCAAACTTCTAACATCAGATAACTCAGGACTATTCCTTCCTTTCAGTTGAAACCATTATGGTCATAACCCCCGCAGACGCCGTTTTTCTTGTCCTTACGATTTCAGAGGCATGATGTGATTTGTGATTGTTTTGACGTTTTCGACTTCCCTGGTATATGAGTACGTGACCCTCTATGGTCCACACTGTTCATCCCAGGTGTGAAGACACACAAGATAAGGGAAATTAAAAGACTTCACAGAAAGACTGATTGGATGAGGACAGTAGTCTTCTGAGTCATTACTCATAGCAGGTTACATGGAAAGCATCAGAATAATACTTAGGGCAAGGAAATCAGGTAGATTGACTCAGGCTCAGTTTTAGTTATGGAGTTGCTGGCAGGTTAAATTAGGGCCTCATGACAATTAAAACACACAGTTGTTGCTAGAAGAAGATTAAAAGAAAGAATACCCATCACTTCCATAGAATACATCCCAAAATCATCTATTCCAAAAAGTCAAGGCCATTCTAGCAGAAGGTGCAATCAAGAATGGGGATTTTTAGGCTAAAAAAAGGTTAAAAAATCAAAAAAGAAGGAGTTCTTCTCAGTTGATAAGTGGTTAAAAGAACATAAAAAAATGAGAAAATGATGAAAGTATATTGTTTCTTTCCAAAATAAAAATGAAAGTGATTAGAAACTGCAGAGGGGGGAAATGTACAAGAAAGGAGTGCACTAAATGTAAAATTATTTTAAGAAACTCAGGGAATTTGGGAAAAGAAAAACCAACTAATGATGCTAGGAACAATTTTCTTTGGCTACTACATTGGGTTTTTAGACAGGAAATGTCCAATCCACATTGCTTTGTATGTAGTGAACAAAATAACAAGATATCATATTTATAATAATATAATGGCATTTATTATTTATTAATTTTATAAACCAACCTCTAGACAAAAAATGAATAAAAATATTGACAGTTGAAAGAATAAAAAGGTACCAACATAGTAGACAGTGTAAGGGGACAGAGCGGGCAGGAAGGGCTGAGCGAGAGCCTTGGTGGCTTCAACTCACATGGAGGAGAATGAACACACTGACCAACATGATGGACTGGTAGATAGAGGTGCATGCTTCATATTTGAAAAAACAGAAGTAAATAGTAGTATCACTGTCAAATATGATATAAGTGAGCTGCAAAGTCTGCTTTTATTGTGGGGATTGAATGAATATTAACTAAATTTAGTTAAACAAAGAGGAGTTTTCTGGTTTCTCATCATTTCAACTAAGGCTAAGGACAATGTGGATAAGTTTCTATAAAATCTAAATTGAGAAGTTAGATCCATCCAACAGGACTTGGTAAGAGTGATAAATTTGCCATGAGACCCTAAGCCTTCACCTGCCCCCATCCTAGGCGAGAAGTTCAGATGTAGAAGGGAAGAGAGAATTATTTGGAAATTCTTCAGAGACAGGTCTCTGTGGGATTTCCTCTGTCTTTGTCCCAGGAAAGAGAATATTGTCTCCTCCTTCAAGCTAACTGAGGGTAGCATCAGAACTCTTCTGAAAACTGGGAAGTAATTTGCCAGAGGATAAAACTGAGACATGTTTCTCCTCAGCTGAATGCTTGCTGCAATGCAGAAACTTGCAGGAGAGGCCTGCCCTGCTCTGCCAACAGAAGGGAGTACAAGAAAGTTCCTAGGATGATCTGATATATGACCTCCTGTAGTTTGAGGGGATAGAGACTGGTGTCTGACTCTTGCCTGGAAAGATCTGTGGGAAGAGGTCTGCTGGGACCACCTCTGTTGGCAGATTGAGGAGAGAAAGTTTTTAATTGCCTCATTCTTAAATAATAAAGTAACCAGGAATCAGCAGAAATTTAGAGAAAGTCTGCCATGCGAATGAAGATTGAGATAAACAAATTTAAAATGACCCTAAAGACAGCAGAGATAATTCAATAAACAGGAAAAAAAAAAAAAGCTTTACAAAAATTCTAATTGACCGTCTCAAAGAAATGTAATTAAACAACTAGACCACAATGGAACAGGAGCATAATGGCC